CACTCTGATTTTTGTGTTGTTAAGGACAAACAAACAAAGGAGGTATTGTTGGAAGGGAAGCTTAAGGATGGATTATATCAATTTGAACACTACTCAGATGAAGTCAAAAGGCCCTACTATCAAGAGTCAGTCAATTCAAATAAGTTGAACCTTTCAACATTTGCCATTAAGTCTAAAGTGTCTACAGATACCACAGAACATGAGTCCAAAATGAAATTGTGGCATATGAGACTTGGACATCCTATAGGTCCTGTGATGTCACAAGTGCTCACATCATGTAATGAAAAACTTGATGTGAATGAAATTAGTCATTTATGTGATGCCTGTCAACTTGGTAAATCATACTCCCTACCTTTCAAACTTTCTACTTCACATGCATCTGCTCCTCTTGATTTAATTCACACAGATGTATGGGGTCTTGTACCTATACAATCTACCTCAGGTTTCAAATAATACATCATCTTCATTGATGACTATGAAGCCTTAAACTTGTTTACTCAATTCAAGAACTTGGATAAAAACAAATTCAGCAATAAAATAAAAACTCTTCAATCAGATTGGGGAGGTGAATTCATAGCTTTTACTGATTTAGCTCTACAATCTGGCATTGATATGAGATTTTCATGCCCTTACACCTCAGCCCAAAATGGTAGAGCAGAAAGGAAACATAGGCACATAACTGAAACCGGATTGACTGTTCTTGCTCAAGCAAGTATGCCCTTGCATTATTGGTGAGGGTCTTTTCACACTGCCACATATTTTATAAATAGACTGCCTACACCTATCCTCAAGATGAAATCACCCTGTGAAACTATAAACTATGAGCAATTTGACTACAAATCTCTAAAGGTTTTTGAATGTGCCTGTTTTCCCTGTCTCAGACCCTATCAAAAACATAAGCTTACTTTCCATTCCACTAAATGTATATTTTTGGTTTCAGCAATTCACATAAAGGATACAAATGTCTTAGTCCAACTGATAGAGTTTACATTTCCAGACATGTAGTCTTCGACGAAAAAGAGTTTCCATTTCAGTTTGGTTTTCTTAACACAAAGAGTAACCTATAGAAAACTGAAACCATTATTCAATATCTACCAGTTCATACTATCCTATACTATGATTCAATGTGTTCAATTGATATAATTCACTCTAAAGCAATCCCAACAGCAACATCTCACAAATCTGATTAGTTAGAAATGGCAGAAACTGAAGCACGAGAGGTAAATGAAAATGAAAATTCAGAGATGAGCAATGGTCACACTTAAATCCAAAATCAAAAAGAAATTGCAAATATTAAGATTGAGGGGACTGAAATGAATAATGAGGAGAATCAAAGCTTGGCATAACAGAGCAAACAGAATGTAGAACACCCCATGATTACCAGAAGTAAAGCTGGCATTTTCAAACCAAAAGCCTACTCAACTCAATGTAAGATGGAGCACACCGGACTTGAACCAAATGATGTGTCTGAGGCCTTGGAAAATAAAGACTGGAAAAATGCAATGGAGGATGAATATAGAGCCTTGTTGAATAATAAAACCTGAAAACTTGTGCCATCTGTCATCAACCAGAAGGTAATAGAAAATAAGTGGGTGTTCAAAATCAAACAAAATGTTGAAGGAAAGGTGCTGAAGTACAAGGCAAGACTTGTTGCAAAATGATTTCTACAAACTTCAGGAGTTGATTATCATGAAACTTTCAGTCCAGTAATTAAAGCCTCAACTCTGAGAATAATCCTTATTGTAGTCTCAAAGAATTGGAGTGTTAGGTAGGTAGACATCAACAGTGCTTTCTTGAATGGAAAGCTAAATGAAGAGGTCTATATGAGTCAGCCAGAAGGTTTTGTTGATAAAACAATCCTAAGCATGTGTGTAAACTTGAAAAGGCACTTTATAGACTCAAGTAGGCACCTAGGGCATGGTATGAAAGATTTAAGAAAACACTTCTACAGTGAAAGTTCACGAAATCAAAGGCAGACAACTCCTTGTTCTTTTACATGAATTAGAGGCAAGTTATTTTTGCCTTAGTATATATTGATGATATAGTGATTACCAGAAATGATAACAAGTTGTTGCAAAGCTTCATCAACAACTTAAACGCACAGTTTGCACTAAAGGACATTGGTGAGCTACATCAGTTTCTAGGAATTGAAGTAAGAAGGGATGAATTTGGTATACACCTTAGTCAAGTTAAGTACATAACAGACTTGTTAAAAAGATTCAACTTTGAGCATCTTAAATCTTGTACAACACCTATGACACTAGGCAAGTATATTTCTAAAAATGAAGTTGAAAAGATGACTGATTCTTCCTTATATAGAAGTGCAGTTGGTGGACTGCAGTATCTGGCACATATAAGGCTTGATATATCATTTGCAATGAACAAGTTAAGTCAGTTTCTACAAACTCCTTCAGATGTACATTGGAAACTAGTGAAAAGAGTTTTCAGATATCTAAAAGGGACAATTGATCATGGCTTATGGATTCAAAGAAGTGACAGAATAAGCATCACTGCTTTTGCTAATGCAGATTGGGCTTTATGCCCTGATGACAGGAGGTCAACAGCCGAGTATTGTGTGTATTTGGGAGACACTTTAGTTGTCTGGTCTTCAAAGAAACAGTAGGTTGTAGCGAGATCAAGCACAGAATCAGAATACAGGGCTTTAGCTCAAACTGCTTCAGAGATAACCTGGATTGAATCATTGCTTAAGGAAATCAATTTGCATCCTGTTTCACCTCCTCCATTGTGGTGTGATAATCTCAGCGCTAGTGCCTTGGCTTCTAATCCAGTCTATCATGCATGAACTAAACACATTGAGTTGGATATACATTTTGTCAGAGACAAAGTTCTTGAAGGAAAGTTAAATATACAATATATTCCATCGTCAGACCAAATTGCAGATTTTCTAGCTAAGCCACTTGCTCAAACCAGATTTTTATTTCTCAAAGACAAGCTTGGAGTAAAAGAATAAACTCCAGCTTGAGGGAGGATGTTGAAATATATTTGCACTTGACAGACCACCTGTAACGACCCGGACCTCTCGCTCAAGTCATTATCTTACGTACTGTCCACTTTGAGTGGGCCTTGCGCCCACTTATCCCTTACGACTTTTCTTCGCATCCCCCACGATTCGAACTCTTGACCTCTACATAAGAGGAACTTAAGTTGAATCCTGATACCAATTGGGCAACTTGTCCAATTGGTTCCAGGATTCAACTTAAATTTCTCTTATGTAGAGGTCAAAAGTTCGAATCCTAGGGGACGCGAAGAAAAGTCGTGAGGAGTAAGTGAGCGCAAGGCCCACCGAAAGCGAACAGTATGTAAGATAACGATTTAGGCGAGAGGTCCGGGTCGTTACACCATCAGCTGCTAACGTGCACCCTTGTGGCCACCAATGAGTTGTTATCACTGTTTTGATTCTTATGGTTACATCACGTGGTTAATATTTGCTTTGCTTGTTCACTACTCCAAGAACTTGTATATATACTATTATATACCGAATTCAAGAAAATAACAATTCTCTGATTATCATTTCAATCACTGCATCTTCAGTTTTCTTATTAATTTTATCTTAAGTTCTGAACTCGCTTCTCAATTCATAAAAGGTTCACAAAATTATCAAACTAGTGATCAACTAATTCAATGCATTAAACTCGTAACAAAATCAACACATGAAATAATAAAAAACAAGAAATTTGAATAAAAGATATAAAGGGTTTCTAGTAGGTAACATTGTTCAACCTAACAAGAATTTTAACTACTCATAATGAAAGAGGAAAAACCATATATAGATCGTTGCTGAATACATTACTAGATTTTTAGTATAGTTGTAGAAAAAGAAGTTACTATTGCACCAAAATCTTCTTCATCTTCCAATCAATGTTTCAAACGGTGAATTTCTTGATATTTTCCTCCCTTAAATTGCTTCTTTGATTCTCGAGTTGTATTCTCCTATTCTCCAAGTGTGGACTCCCCTCAAAAGTGTCAAAGATTTGTATTTAAACTCCCTTCACGTTGATGTTGAATGTAGAATTTTTATAGGCTTCAAAACGAGTCAAATCGCGCCCTATATGCTATCACCGACAACGCTATGGCACCTAGGATGTGGCGTCGTAGCGTCTTGTCAAATATAGGGGTGGCGCTGTGTTGCCACAACTCTATTTTGGTCCCGTTTAGGTGACACCATGGCGCTACTCGTCCTCTCTTCATGGTTTGACTATTTTGCCATTTCGTCCACATTCCTTTTCAATCGTGCCAATAGTTTTGTTTTATCATATCTTCCATTGTTTTTCACCATCCCACCACTTCTACAAAACGACACTGATAAACACATTAAAAATATTCACCATTCGGAAAATCTAGCTTACAATCAAGTTAAAAATGACATAAATTCAAGAGTAAAAATACACTCAACAGTCAAATCGATAACTTTTTTTACAAAAAAATCAGCTGTGTTCTTGAAGTTGATATGAGAAGATGACATGGGAAATTCAGCATATTGAATTGCATAATTTGTTTTTATATGATAATGAATGAAAGGTCTATGATTGTTGATTTGCTGAAAAATAAAAATTGAATGTTTATTAAAGTTTGCTTTGACAAGTTGACTGCCAATTGTAATAATAATAATTGTAGATAGAAAAATGGCACATCTCCAAGTGGTAAAAGGGGAGGGTGGAGAAATCCAGCTTTACTTGAGGCTGCCGCGTCAAGGGTTCGAATCTTGAAATATAGATTTGGCTCTTGGGTAAGTGTACAAGCAGCCTTCCACCCTATACCCTTAGAGACATAACCTGCGATTTACCTCCCTCACGATACTCCAGGGCAGGGGCGGTGGGGGACCCTTAAGGTTGGGATTCAACCTTTAATAATTGTAGATAGAAAAATTGAAATGATAAACGACCACTTGAATTTCCAAGAATAAGAAAATCGATGTCGACCTTGTTACTATCAAATCAATTTTGTTTTTTTGGATCTTTTCTTAAACATAGCATTAGTCTATGACAATTGAGTTATTATATGTGTGTGTATGAGCCATGTGATTAAGGGTTGTTTACGTTGTACAAGAATGAGGATGTTAATCAACAAAAACATGACGACTCGTGGTTGAAATCATAAGAGAACTATATCCATGACAAATAACAAATCGTCGTGTGATTAGTCACATTTGTTCATCAAACTTTGATTCTTTTTCATGCGTCATAGTCATACTTCATGCTATTATATGTCAAGTATAGTATTTTTCTGGCTCATGGTCTTCAAACTCGCAACTTGAAAGAGATTTCATGAATCTTATCATACCCGAAGTTCTAAAAGTCCATATATATCTTCGTCATAGTCTCTACGAATGCCTCCAAAGCATCTCCAACATGTTTTTTTGTGCTCAGATAGAAAGGTAGTGCCTCTACTCGAACGTCGTCTTTAGTACTACAAATTTTCACACTCAAACTCATATTGCTTAATCATTTTCCTTTAATTGATGGACCAGATTTTTGTGCATTGTCTCTCTAGGACACATTCTATGGTCAACTTGTTCTAAAAAGGCCATAAAACTATCCTCAAGTGCACGTCGAGATAATAAACCAAATGATTATTGAACTTTGCAAAAAGTTTTTAAGAGGTCACTGAACTTTAAAAATCATTCTATTCATCACTAACTTTTACAAAAAGTTTCTTAGTGATCCCTGGGAAATCTTTTGTAAAGTTTAGTGATGAATGAGATAATTTTTAAAATTTAGTGACCCTGTAGAAATCTTTTGCAAAGTTTTGTGATGATTTGCGTGATTTTTACAGTTCATTGATCTCGTGGAATCCTTTTGCAAAATTCAATAACCAGTTGGATTATTATATCAGTGCACGCCACGGAAACCTCTTTATTTTGCCTTGACCACTGGCTTGGTTGACAATTCTAACCTCTGATTTATGTGCTTGTAATGCTATGTATTTTCAATTGATTCACCCTCAACATTTTTAACTAAGTCATCATCTATAACAATCCGTGAGCTAAGCTTAATCTTGTTGCTCTTGAAATGATTCAATAACTAATGCCTCACTTGGTCATCGTCCCAATTTACAAATGGACCCAAACTTTTCACAATTTCTCCCAAAAGGCACTAATTTTTACGGCCTTGTCCATAATATTTCTGGAGGAATGGATGCATCTAGGTTCCTAAAGTTTTTGTGTTTTATGAGTCTGCCCCTAAAGCTTCTAAATTTTACTAATTATTTCCTTGAAATGTTTGTATCTTGCATCTTCGTCACAAAATTTGCTCATTTTCCTGCTTCTTTTACCCGTCACACACACACACACACACATTAGTGTAGTACCTAGGCAGCAAGTCAAGGCCATGCATTCAAGAGAAAGTTAATATTTACCTACATTAATAACTTTTGACCTCTTTGAAATTTAATTATAATTTTTAATAATTTTCAGTACAATTAAATTATTTCCTTCAATTCAACTACTCAAGGTTTTGTTCAGCTCCTTAAATAACTCGTAAAAGTACTTGGGAGTTTGATTCCATCTCAGCTTGCAAATAAGTGCACATTTGGCTAAGATTAAAAAACTTTCTACTAATAAAAAATAATCTTTTAATTTTATTTCATGAATGAAGTTAAACTTATGTAAATTAATAAATAAATTTTACACTTAAAAATTATAAATTCTTACCGAAATAAGTAAATTCTTTTACTTACAAATGATATAAAAAATATATATATTAAAACAAGTTTTCGTAAATATTTACTTTAAAAAGGAAAATATAAGTTACTTTTCAGTTTAATTAAACAAACTCTAAGTGTCGAAAACTTTAGAAAAAGTATCAACTTCGAACGCTACAAAATCCGTCGCTGAAAGGTATCAACGGTATTTTTCGGTGCTAATATTTTGTCACTATCGACGATTTTCTGGCTTGAACTTGAAATTATGAATTGAGGAGAAAAACAACAAAATAGTCATGTCATTATAGGTATCTAGCCAACCCACTAAAAGGTAACGAACCAAATTTGCACAACAAACCCATTAATTAAATGTCCCTCCAAAGTATTTGACAAGAAAGTGGACCATCAATGCTTGATGTGAAATTTGTCTGCCATGAAATAGGCCTTCCAAAAAATAGGCTCCATATTTTAATCATACTATAGTGACATAATGATTGACACAATGATAGACATAATCCCACGTGACGTTATATCATTGAACTATTTAAAACACAATTACATTTTCAATCCAAAAGGTCACACTTTTCTATCAAAGATTCTGTCAGAATTTTTTTGTTAATGTGATATTTTCCATTTTATCATGGTCGATTATGATTTGTGGGAACAAGTGAGGTGAGCTGACGTGAGGTGGAAATTTAGTATTCTCGATGCATGTTCAGTAAAAATGAACAAATCATTAATGTGGCTTCAAGCTTATGTTGTTGGAGTATAATTTCCTTATTCAAATAATCTGAGAATACTTATATTTACAGATGTACTTGAATAAAATTAATCAGAGTAACGAGATTATCAACAAGATCAGAATATTAATTCAAGCCCATCCACTTCATGACATTTTCTTACAACGAATTTGATCCATTCAATGATGCTAAAAGTGTCCAACAATCATCTCTAATGATAGTC